ATACCAGCCTGCGTAGCAGGCGCTTGGAAGTAGCGGGCGAAAGAGAGAACGGGCGCGCGAGGGAGACACGCAAGGGGTGAGGGGCAAGGCGTGTCTCCTTCTCGCGCGCCCGTTTTTTCTTGTGCCCACTACTTCCAAGCGCCTGCTACGCAGGCTATGTATATACGAAATCAAGTATTAAAGAATATTTTTCTACGTGTTCTGTCCATTTAAGTCAATTAAAGCCTTATATTGCGGCTCTGTTTGCTTTGTTATATAAACGATTATGTGTACATGACTTTAAATCAGCAGGCGTGTATGAGTATGTATAAGCCGTGTTTTCTATTTTGTAACAGGTAGCCGATAGAAACCTAACAGTGGAGAAGCAAAAATCTTTTTTAAAGAAATGATAATCCTTTTTCATACTGCCCGAGAACTCGAACACTGAACCTTATGCCCCATTCATACCATCTAAACATGTTTAACTGAACTAGGTTTTAAAGAACTAAAAAACAGTAAAGGGAAACTTAAACACAGGCTCTAACGCAGAATGTAAATGAGCTTAAACATGTTACATTATTTATACTTATAATTTACTTTAAAAAAAAGCACAGTGCTCAGCTCTCACAAAAAAAAAATTGAAACGATATTTAGCTAAACAGCTTTTAAACATATTTAAACTTGAATTAAAAATTTACAAAACAAAGCACAGTTAATTTCAGCGCAGCTGTAGCTTGTTAAAGCGAGTCACCGCAGCAGTAAATTAAGTTCCCCACATGTACTTAACAGGTCATTTCCCCGTGATGAAGGCGCGCTCGAAAAGATGTTATACCTTGGCAACGGGTCATAGTATTCATTATGAAATGTGGCTCCATCTGCGGAAATAATAAGACATTTCTAGAAAATAAGGCGGCATTTCATGAGCACTGCATGTGGGAAAATATTCTCACACCATAAGAACATAAAACCTGTCCACTGCGTCACCAAATCGGAGGAAAAAATTCATAAAGAAAGACAATTCATTGCGAAGGGACGCCATAGTGGGAATAAACTAAGGGAGGTAGCGCCTACGTGCTATACCGATCAAAAGCGCGAAGAAATATTCAGGAAGTTAATAAGGAAGAGAAGAGGAAGGGGCAGTTAGTAACCGGAAAAATGCAGCCGGTTGATGTTTACGCTTTATTATGCAACTTGCACACACCTCTCACCTTTCTAAAAACGTGCGCTCTCGATTCTCGTTCCATTGTTCACTGAGTGTGATTCCAGTTTGGTGCTGATTTTTGGTTCTTTATTTAGGATTTTTTCCTCCACACTTAACATTCTATCAAGCAAAGCACTTCCAGGCTGTAAAAAGCAATTTTCAAAATGACGTCATTTGATTACAACTACCAAAATACGTCAATTTCGAGTTTAAAAAACTCACTTTGAAAATGAAGTGAATTGGAAAATTTTTATGTCAAAGGAAACTGATCCAAAGAAGAAGAGAAAAAGATTTTTTGTATCAAAGACTCTAAACTTACCCTGGTAAGATTAGGGTAAAGCTAAGAGCAAATCAGAAATGACCTGTTTCAACTGAACAATAGACCTAATTTTTGAAGGCAAAAAAAGGAATATTTAGCATAAAAATTTCAAAACCCACGGCATTAATTTCAAGCAAATCGAACAGTTTCGTTCGAATCGCTTGAAATTGTTGCTCTGAGTTTTGAAATTTGGATGCAAACTGTCTTCGGCAGAGCACATAAAAATCCTTTTGGGCTGAAAAACGTATTCCTAGGAATTCGCGGGAAGCGGAGAATGCGTTGTAAAACCCTTCCCCTATTCTAGACCAAACTATGTGATTTTCTGTACCCTATTTCAGCGCCGCTTTTCTGCGGCCAACAGTGACACACCAGGATCACTTAAAACAACATTTCTAATACGAAATCCTTCACGAGGCGTTCTATCAAACTTACAATGTCATGTACACGGGAGAGTCATGGAATTGAAGAAAACCCGTAACGAGAACTGCTAAAAACGAGACGTTTTTACTCGGTAGCGCACCCGTTTAAACGCCACCGAAATAAGCGCATGTTCCGACCTAAATAAATACACATGGCAACTATCTGGGCGTCCGAAGCTCAGGGCCCATCCCCACACCCCAGCTTTAGCGAACACAAAAACCTACCCAGTGTCTCAGACAAAGAGAGTTCAACTCTATACCCACACCAACCGCCAGGATCAAGAACCAAACTCTTGTGAGCACACATACCTGTATATCTTTTATAAGGGAGTACCTTTCTAAGGAGTCGGATCAAGGGTAAAATATATCCAAAAAAAGTCGAAAAGTACAAGTGTGAGTAAAAACTTGTTTATTGGTTCTAGAGTACGTCCATGAAAACATCAAATCCTATTCTTAGCACAGTTTTAAAATCCAAATAATGTTAACCTGTGTATAAAACAAAATGTCTCTCAAAGATATAAGTTATGATGTTTAAGAGAAATTGCAAAATTTGCATTAGAGTCTCTGGTAAACCATAATTGGACTTTTAACAAGTTATTCCTGGTGTGCTATGAAGTACAGGAACAGGCTACAATCATGGCTAAAGAACAGCCGTTGCCAGTTAGCGACTGCTGTAAAGTTTTTTTGTTTTGTTTTGGAAGGTAACCTAGCTTTTAAAGCTGATATCAAAGTATAATAAAACCATATTATTACGTAGAGGGAAGCACTGTGGCTGAGGTTGCGAAGCCTTGTTCCCCTGAGGGTACTGGTAGTCATGGCTGCAGTATAGCCATTATTAGCACGCGGGCGCTTTCCCACCCTCAGTTTGCAAACTTGCAGCTTTGTTCATGTGTGTAGTAGCTTACGTTAGAACTATTTGGGATTACATATTGTGATTTCTCTCTTTCGCAATTCTTATTATGAACTCCTAGTGAGCTGAAACTAGTTTCTTTGCAAAGAACAAAGCCTGGGTATAGCTATAGACTGGTAAACGAATTCTTCTTCAAATAAAATACTATTATAGCTGCTAAAATAACTGATCCTTCTAATCATTCAAACATATATAGCTATTCTTTCTAATAATAATTTATAGTCCTCTTGAAGACTTTTTAAAAACATCTTACTGAAAAAACGTTGTTGGGTAAAAAGTCAAAATCATGAACAACAAAAAACAATAGATTTCTGAGAAGACGGCGCGCCATGCTTACTTACAAAAACGGTGGTTGCAGAATCTTTCGCTACGATTGGTACGCCTTATTTTACTCGGAGACACGCAGTTGGCACTATCACAGCAGCAATACGTTGCGTAGAGTTGTCCACAAATTTCCACTTTGTCCCCTCAAAAGTTTTTCCAGTTAGGTGTTTACTGCTATTGTTTAAATATGGAAAGTTTCTGTATTCCATTGGCGCACACATTTGCAGAACTCAAAAATTTTTCTCTGCACCAATCAGAGGAACAAATTCTGTTAGCTATATTTTTTAGTCTGTTTCTTTGATTCGATCAAGAGCAAATGCAGGTCAAGTCACATTTGCCTCAATCCATGAAATTTTCATTTTTGTCTACCAATGTATATAAAACAATTTAATACTACTTTTTTTCTACCCTGCCTCATGCCTGAACCAGCGTTTTTACTAAGAACCATTTTAGCTTGTTGCTAAAAAATAAGGCTGTCTTTCAGGCCTTTTTTCCCCTTATGACAGACAGGGAACCACCGAAACAATACTCGGCTTTCTTTGGTTAAGCCTTANGCCTGGGTATAGCTATAGACTGGTAAACGAATTCTTCTTCAAATAAAATACTATTATAGCTGCTAAAATAACTGATCCTTCCAATCATTCAAACATATATAGCTATTCTTTCTAACAATAATTTATAGTCCTCTTGAAGACTTTTTAAAAACATCTTACTGAAAAAACGTTGTCGGGTAAAAAGTCAAAATCATGAACAACAAAAAACAATAGATTTCTGAGAAGACAGCGCGCCATGCTTACTTACAAAAACGGTGGTTGCAGAATCTTTCGCTACGATTGAAACGCAGTTGGCACTATCACAGCAGCAATACTTTGCGTAGAGTTGTCCACAAATTTCCACTTTGTCCCCTCAAAAGTTTTTCCAGTTAGGTGTTTACTGCTATTGTTTAAATATGGAAAGTTTCTGTATTCCATTGGCGCACACATTTGCAGAACTCAAAAATTTTTCTCTGCACCAATCAGAGGAACAAATTCTGTTAGCTATATTTTTTAGTCTGTTTCTTTGATTCGATCAAGAGCAAATGCAAGTCAAGTCACATTTGCCTCAATCCGTAAAATTTTCATTTTTGTCTACCAATGTATATAAAACAATTTAATACTACTTTTTTTCTACCCTGCCTCATGCCTGAACCAGCGTTTTTACTAAGAACCATTTTAGCTTGTTGCTAAAAAATAAGGCTGTCTTTCAGGCCTTTTTTCCCCTTATGACAGACAGGGGACCACAGAAACAATACTCGGCTTTCTTTGGTTAAGCCTTAGCACATTAGCAAGTCTCTTAAATCTTAATTGACTGTTCAGGATGTGAAAGATCCCAAGTTAAAAATGGTGAGTACTAGAGTCGGTGGCTATGAAGCAAACGGAAGCTCTGTACAGGAGTGATTGTTTTTTTGTTTTTTTTGTTTTTTTTTGTAGGCTAATCCACTAAATTGGCTTGCTTATCTCTACTGAACGTTATTTTACTATAAACCCAAAAGTAAGTAGTTGTTGATCCATTTAAAAGTAGAAAATTACTAGAAAAAGCACAAAAGTCTATTTCTTATTGCAGACGAATCTTTCTAATTAGGTGCAATTACGTTAAAAAGTCATATTTACACTTGGTCTCCGAATACTAATGCCTTGGTACCAGAACAAACTGTAGAGTGTTCACACTAGATACTCGAAATTGGAATTTCCAGTCAACTTCTATCTAGTTTTATTAGACGCCAAAAAAAAAGGAGTGTGGTGGCATAAATGCCCATCGAAAACATTACTCAAGCTATGCGCTTGCGGGGGAACCAATTGTGACCTTACTCTAAATCACTTTTAATTGTTCCTGCTCATGTATCTGCATGTGAGTTGCTAGATTAGAGAAGTAGCTGAAACTCTTGCTGCAGAACTGGCACTGATGAGGCTTGAGACTTACGCTTGAATGGAGGCGCAGATGTCTGTCAAGAGTACTCAACTGGGCAAAGCTCTTCTCGCAGAAGTGACACTTATAGGGCCGCTGGCCAGTGTGAGAGCGCATGTGATTAGTAAGCGTGGACTGCTGGGCAAACGCTTTTCCACAAAACTTGCATGAATATGGGCGTTCTTTGGTGTGAGAAAGTTCGTGCTTTCTTAGCGTGGACGGCTGTGAAAAACACTTGCCACAGTAATGGCAAACGTATGGTTTTTGGCCAGTGTGAGTTCTAAGATGATTTGTCAGTGTCGTGCTTTGAGCAAACATTTTTCCACAGTACATGCAGACAAAAGGCTTGTCGCCAGTGTGCGTGCGCAAGTGCGCCTTAAGGACTCCCGACTGAGCAAATCGACGACTGCAAAATTTACACTGAAATGGTTTGTCACCTGTATGAGTCCGGACATGATTTTGGAGTGTAGAGAAGTGGGCAAATTTCTTGCAGCAGAAGCGGCAAATGAATCTTCTTTCTTTCAAATTAGACGACATAAAGTTATCATATTCTTCTGGCCTCTTGAAGAAAAGGCTGTGACCTTCTGGAAAAGTGACTTGTTTCTCTCCGATGTGTCTCTTTAGGTTCTCGTCGTCGATGAGGGTATTGGTGTCTTCTATCGGATGTGGTTGCTCACTGATTTGTGTTTTCTGCAATTCATCGACATCGTCGCTGGTAACACCATCCTGGTCACTGGACAATGATGATGGAGGAGAGGGCATTTCTTCTTTTTGAGGACTCTCCTTTGTTTGCACAGCACGACGCTCGGCATAACTGGGCATGCCCTGGTGATTACATGGATCCATTATACCGCTTTCTCTGCTTATGTTGAGTTGGTGGGCACCAAACGCGACTTGCTCTGGGGATGGAATGATTTTTTGGACACTTTTAAGACTTTCTCTTCGTTTTTCCAAAGTTTCATAGTGCGTTTTTGAAACTTGTAACCTTTTAGGAAAATAACGGTGAGGTGAGTCTAGCTTCCAATCTGGCCTTAAGTAACCTGGACGCTTGGTTAAATTTCCGTATGAGATTCCCAGTTTGAAGTGTGGTGTCTCAAACTGGTGAAATGCACTCTTTTCATGGTCGAGTGAGAATTGGTTTGAAAATGAGTACTCGCTGGAAATCTCGCCAAAAGATGATGCATCACGACTCTGAAATTTCTGAGTATCAAGCATTGGCGCAGTAATCTTAACGGTTCGCTTTCCTTCAGATAAGGGATGACAAGGTGGTTGTGAATCTGAAGGAATAGAATTTCTGCGAATCTGTGACCTCGAAGATGTGTCTTTGATGGAGCTTTCTTTAGCTTTAAAACTTCTTATCCATCCGTGATGAGCAGGGACTGTGGAAGAGTCATCCTCATAAGAAGAGGAAGTTTCAGGAGATCCTTTGTTGGTGATCGATGGGTCATACTGGCTCGATGGGTTTGCTTGCGGATGGATTCGATTTTCACAAGGTTCCTCATGTTGATTATCTTCAAAATGTACATGTCCCTTTCCATTTCCTGCAAGATGTGTAGAATCTTCTTCTCTGACTCTTGTAGAATCGTCTTCTCTGACTCTCTGAGGGCGAGGTTGGCGGTTTTTTCGCTTTTTACTTCCAGCAACAAAGTCCTGTTGACGTACTCTTGCACGAAAAGGAATATTCTCTAAAACAGGATCTTGGAATACGACGGCACTCGAAAGATGTCGGTGGTGATGGTTTTCATCAAAACCATCTATTTTACGAGCGTATGAAAGGTTTGGCCGCTCTCTGGGCAGACTATCTTCTCTTGATCCCGGAATATTTGGATAGATTTGCTTAACTAGAACTCTCCGCTCTTCATAGTAATCCCTGATTTTTACGGTAGCTCTCTGACTGGTAGCCAGTTGTTTAGAGTTATAAAAGGATTCAGGTTCAGACGCAACATCATTTTGCCCAACTTTTACGACATGCGTTTTGTGGAAGGCACTTGGAATGTGCACCAGTGAAGAACTCTTTGGAATGCCTCTAATTTCTGAGATCTTTTTGTTGCTACAACGGTGTGATGGGCAGCTTGGACAATGACACTTCTCTGGGGGGCTGAATTTTGTATAGACATGGTTTGGCGACATAAAACCACTACCGTTTTGTTGCCTTTCATTGTTAACGGCCACGTGCGTGGTAAAATCCTCGTTCGAAATGCTTTTGATTTGTGAAACGAGACTCTGACTGTATGTATCCGAGTTACTTTCCGGACAAAAGGCTGCTGAATTACTCTGAACACTTTCGTTACCTTGCTGCCGCTGAAAAGATCTGCTCTTATTTAAAGGAGACTCCTGGCGCTCACACTGAACATGTCTTTGTGGAACCCATTTTGAGTCCTTGGTAACAGCAGTATGCCCCGGAATCTTCTGAGAGCCACCTCCAGAAAAAGGTTCAGATAAACTGTAACATTGTAGAATTACAGGAGTGCATTCTTCCTGGGGACCCTTATCTGGACAACCTGCAAGGGATAAATACAACATCACTTGCTAGAAAGTCAACCATAGGCTGAAGAAATTAATCTTTGCGATTTTGATATTTTTCAATCAATCGCCTGGTTTAAAATTTTAGGGGACATTTTTTAGCATTACTACTTTTATGTCTGCTTCAGACTGATGTACAAAATGTCGTTTAGTGTTTTCTAGTAATGCTGTGCAGCGTATCCTGGATTAAAGCTAGCTTTTATTAGTGGATGGTTGGCTCGAAAATTAAACACTAATTATCAAACCGCGTACTTCGATCTACCCCAGAGTTGTCTAATCTTTAGTCATTTTTCGTATAATAACCTGCTTCATTTGTTCTTAAGATTAGGTACTGTTTTGCCCAATAATTTTCAATTCCGAAAGTTATTAATCCGCTGTTTCTTTCATGCAGGTATTCCTGTATCATCCATGGGCTTTGCTTCATTGCCTTCCTGTTTTTGTAGTCGGTCCAAAAACGATTTCAAGTTCAAGTAACCTATGGAATCAGGCAAGAATTGCAGTTCAATTCAATGAAACCTATCACAAAACTGGTTACATTACCAATATTTTAGACTTCAGCTCGAGAATTGTAAAGCAGGTTGTTGATAGTTTGAGAAGGGTAATTAAACGTGCAAGCACCTAGTATATATCTGATCAATAGTCCACAATAATATCGCTTTATAAGTGCCGTGATGAGAAAAAACTGCGGGAACTTTAATGTCAGGGACCTTATGATTCAAGGACAGCTTCGGCAACGAAAACGTCGCTTAAAAACGTACTGTTCGCGTCCTACCAATCTTCATCGTGATTATTCCAACACACTTACATTGTCAAATTTAGGCTAACTCTCCTGGAGTTGAATTCCTAAAAACGATTTCCAAGGTCAGATTTTAAAAAAGGAAATATTTGTTTACCTCCTCTATATGACGGCAAAAAAGTGTAGAAAAGCATGATGCAAGTGCAAAAGAGTGGTTGACTGACTAAAGGTGATGTTTCGCAGCGACGATTTTTAGCACAACACAGCGTTGCAATGTTGGAACAGTGTTGTAACCATTCGAAACAATGTTGCAACACTGTGTTGCGCTAAAAATCGTCGTTGCGAGACGTCTCGTTTAACATCACCTTTAAGGGGCTGTGTCACGGCTCTCTATTTCATGGTGTTAATACAAATTGCCAATTACACTTCCTTATGCACTGTGGAACTTAAAGTAAAGGAAGAAATTAATTGTAAAAGATAAACTCCCACTTCATGTCTGAAAAAAATACTTCCCAAGCGTTGTATCAAACTTTACAGAACAATAAAAATGAAGTTTGAAAATTAATAGGCTAACAAGTTTTCAAAAGCCCGCAATTTCAATCCGTTTTAATCTTCTTCAAGTTTGTCCATCCGTATTTAGTTTTGTATCTGCTGTGTTAGTAATACCTTCTTTAAATGATTTGAGAGATTATTTCTATGTCTCACTCAATTTGGTGTCAGTTTCTACTGTTACAGTTTTGATAAAATTCGTGACACAGCTCCTTAAGATGCGATCAGTCTTAAAGCAGTAAAATGCTTGAGGGGCCAGTTTTACTTATTAAACCCATAATTGTGTTTTTGACGTTCTTGTTGCCGTCGCCGTCTTCAGATCTTAAGGCTCTCTTAAAGACATAACATGTCATATACTTACAAGGGCAAGCATCATNTGCTGTGTTAGTAATACCTTCTTTAAATGATTTGAGAGATTATTTCTATGTCTCACTCAATTTGGTGTCAGTTTCTACTGTTACAGTTTTGATAAAATTCGTGACACAGCTCCTTAAGATGCGATCAGTCTTAAAGCAGTAAAATGCTTGAGGGGCCAGTTTTACTTATTAAACCCATAATTGTGTTTTTGACGTTCTTGTTGCCGTCGCCGTCTTCAGATCTTAAGGCTCTCTTAAAGACATAACATGTCATATACTTACAAGGGCAAGCATCATTTTGTTTCTCACAAGCTCTTGTAAATCCCCTGTTTCTTTCCTTCAAAAAAGAGAGAGATTAATGAGTAGTCATCCTTGATAACATATGCCATGAATGTTACGTTATCCTGAGAAGAAATAACTAAAAGTAAAATTTTTTATTTATTTTATATGTCAATTCACTGACCTCGTGGCCTTGATGATTCAGCAATACTTGGGACGGTCGCGATGGGACAAACGCAGAGCCTTGAGAAACTGCAAGGTGGGCTTTAATGTGATTGTCTTGTGTAGGGAAGGGAGCGTTTATGAGGAAGTTCCCACGTAGGCGATTTCTCAGACCATTTATGCTGCTTTCCACCGAATGATCATCAATAGGCACTTCAGCACTTGTAGTCTTTTTATCTTGATAACCTCGTCCCGTTTTTTTGTTTGAATCTGAGGCTTGATCAGCTTGAAAATCACGTCTAAAATAACACCGGTCGGAAAGAAATCCCGGATTTAACCCGCTGCCATCTTTCATCGTTGAACCCTTTTTCGATTTTTGCTGTGTGATGACTTCGATTTTTCTCTTTTGGTTTGCAAGAGCCCAGGTTCCATCAATTGGCAGAGTTTCCTTTTGAAAACTATCCCCTGTAGTTGAATGTTTCTGGCCATATAGGCTCTGACAGTGCACTGTCCGTGGAAGAAATTTTTCTTGAGAAAATTCACAGGATGGACAGCATGCATTTTTAGGAAATAGCAATCTTGTTTTCTCAAAGGGCCGGTTTTTCAAAAGATCTCGGTGATATGATAAATCCATATCTATTTCTATATCACGAGGTGACTGTACGTTGTTGTCTTCTGTTCGCCTGTGCGTGATATTGTGTTGATCTCTGATGCTTAGTTGTGGGGCGTACATACCATTCTTTGTCTTTCCACTCCAATCTTCATTGGCCTCAGTAGTCACTGGAACTGGAATTTGAGGAGGTTTTAAGTTTATGCAACGAAAACACTGCGATCCACGACCAGAACTAGGACATTTCTTTTCTTCCTCGTGGTAAGGCAATTGGCAGCCACTCCCCGACAGGTAGAAAGAAGGAGGTTGTAACATCTTAAGAAGAACTTCTCTATTGTGAAACATCTCAGGCTTTTCAGCTGTTAACTGCTTCGATGATCCAGGAAACCTATCATAAAGTGCTTCGCTTGTCTGGGCACTCGGCATGCTTCTTTGGCTAAAAAGTACTGGACTCGAAGCTGCGTCTTGGCAAGCTGTTTCTTTCATTTTTCTCTCCCTGGTTAAATTGTTGGCCGTTTTCTTGCTGAATTTTTCATGTCTAACCTTTTTGCAGTCGCCTAGAACGAAAAACGTATGCTTGTGAAAAAAAGAGTAAAAATACAACTGAACGGGCGACTTAAATGGTCGAACTTTCTTAGGAGACAAAGGGATTGCAGAGGCTTGCAAACACCATAAAAGAGGGTAAGCCTAAGGGCAACCGATCACCTACAATTATTCAAAGCAGGGGGTGATGGAAATGAAATACTCGAAGTGGGCGAACCTTCCTAGAGACAAAGGGATTGCGAAGACTTGTAAACATCATAAAACAGGGTCAGGTTTAGGGCAACCAACCACCTACATCTATTTCAGCAGGGTGTCATTCAACTCGGACAAACAAGAGAATTGCCAACGGTTTTCACGATTAGAGCTCTAAAAGAAAGCCTTTGGATGCTCTTAGTATACTAAGCAAACTAACTGTCTATAAAGTCCGTTCTTTTAAGGCTGATTGCCTTTCTCTCTCTTTGGATACATTTCATGGGAAAAGAAAAATAGAAAAACTTTTTCGTATTTAAGTATTGAATTTTTACGACATAATTTACTTATTTTTAAGAATTCTGAACTACACCTCTGTTTTCGCAAATTAATGTGGATACCAGTACACACGCCTACGCGATATACGCGCCTTCAACACGTGTATGTGTTGTGGCTCAATTTTATCCTTGGTTTAAATTTTATTTTCCTTTGTTTTAGACTCATTATAATACATTACCATAACCTAAAACAAAAGGAAATGAAATTTAAACCAAGGATAAAATTGAACCTCAACATATGGACTCGCAAAATGATTTAATTTCAGTTCGGCTTTTTCAGTACCAGATCAAAGGAATTTCGATATCAAAATAGTAGTGCCAAAAACCTTCAAAACCCCTATTTGGAACTAAATGATTCAGAGGCTATTTATTCTGTGAGGTTGAAAAATTATGGCCTCATTGCAGCAATACCCTAAGCGTATAAACGGCCGTCGAAGCATTGTTAGGAGCTGACAAATTTTCACATCTCTCCTAGAAAATGCTTGGAAATACTATTGGTTGCTAACGCTAACTCTATTGTAAGCTGCAAAAAAGAATTTCCCAAAACTAGAAAACTGTTTAACGTCTTTGTTATAAAAAAATTTAAACAGATCAATTCACCTTGCCACCGTATACTGATTCAAAAATTCAAAAACCAATATAGAGTTTTTGTCATCTTGGCAGCAAAATTGGGAAACGACATTCGCGTTTGAATTCGTAGGGTTCCTACTCTGGACGATTCCGAGCGTTAGCTCAAAATACTGAAAATGTCTTGCTAAACTCAGTGTGCCACTCAAGTTAAGCCCGGCCTGCCGTACGCGGTTGGAAACTGGTTGGCTGACCAGCCACGAATATCATTTCTCTCTGAAATGGGCAATATCACGCTATTCAGTTGCTAACTTTTCAAAAAGCTAAACCGTGTCTTCGCCTCAATTGAATTCCAAAATTAAAGTCCAGTTTTGTTACTCAAGACTATATTTACGCATTGAAACCGTTTCTTGTCGTCTGTAGCCACGAATGGCAAGACTGATGGACATGGATTGAAACTTGACAAGGTTGGGCCAACTTTTTCAAGTTTTAATGCTATGTCGATCTTCAAAAATGATGAAAAAAAATATTTTGGTTTGTAATCCTTATTGATATTTGTGTGATATATTCTTTATAACACAACAGGAGCATTTTGTGATTGGGTAAATACACTAAGTTGTATCTAAGTATTGAATTTTTACTACAGAATTGACTTGTTTTTAAGCATTCTAAAGCACATCTCTGTTTTGGTAATTTAATGGGGATACCGGTACACACGCCTACGCGATATTTGTGTGATATCTTCTCAGTTATAACTTTACAGGCACTAAGTTCTGACTTTTAATTAGCGCCGTACAAATTGGCCTAAAACAGCAGTATCCTCAATCATATCATCCTCTTCTTTCTGTTTCGTAGTCTTATTTGATTAGTGATCTGTTGGAACTGTTTCAAAAGTATAGTTGTATCGCTTCATTAGCAAGATATGACTGCTTACCCACAGTAAAACAATTTCAATATCAAACTTCGAATTTGATCAAAGCATCGCCCCTAAGTCGCTTAGGTAGCTACCACCTCCCAAAGAAAAATGCGACGAACAAATAATATATTCAATGATTGATTCAGCTTTTTAATAGAAGGTGACAAGAAGTGTCTGGCCACTTTTATATTGGGTCCTTTGATATAATCAGAGAATAATAAAGCATATTGCCTTTTTCTTGTAGGTAAACAAATTATAGTGAGGTGCACAAGTATTTTCTTGCCGATGAAAGTCGATGAAAGCTTTTCACTCGGGGCAATAAGATTCAAATTATACAAATTGAAGAGACTGATAAACCATTTAGAATCAAAATTTCCCTTCTTCAGTTTATTCTAAACTAGATTTATGGCGGGCAGCTAGTCACTTTTACTTGTCACCGCATTTAATCGTACATCTCGTATACTATACAAGCATAATAGTTTCAGAGTCCACTTCGGCAACGAATGTTTGAAACAATATATGGAGACTATCTTCCCCGAACTGGGAACGACATTAGTAAAACTAAGGAAGTTTTTACCTAGCTTCTTGTAGCGAATGCACTTAGAGACTTAAAAGCTTAATACATAACTGTTGTGCTTCGATCGAGCCAACCATTTGGCAAGTTTGAGTTTCCATTCAGGTATTAAATCGAAGTGCGAGTCATTTTTCATTTCAAGTTGTTGTTCTCCTTCGAATGACAACCGTATAATAAAACAACCGATTATTCTGTTGCAGATAATCTCTGCTTTTAAATCAAGACAATATGGCCCAGTATAACTCATTAATCGTCTGTCAACTGCTAAAAACAACAACAAACTACAAAAAACAGAATAGCAAGTGAAAAAGCGGGACAGATATTAGCCTGTTTGAACTCATCTCAACCACTTCTGTGAAGGTACTTATTTCGAATTTTTCGGTTGACATAAATGCTCTGTTTGTTTTGTTATATAAACGAATAAAAACAAAAATTATGTATTTTAGTACATTCATCTTGTATCGGTACGTTAAATCAACAAGCTTTTATCTTCGTATATGAGTACTATAAGCTGTTTTCTATTTTGCAACAGGTAGCCGACATAACCGAACAGTGCTAAGTAGAAATACGTTTCTGATTTCAAGAGGTTTTCACAAACGAAAAATGCCTTAACATTTAGCTTATTATACAAAGAAAATATGTGAATTTAAAGCCAGGACTGACTGTATATTGCAATGCAACACTGCCTGTTAACAATGCAGATAACAGTCGAGGAAACAGTTTGTTATTCATAGTCAGGATAGCCTCGAGCGTTATGGAGAGATAATAGAGGAGCCTGTCGTTGAAGCGACTGTCACGAAGACGGCCCTAACAAAAAGAAGCCTTTCGTTTTCTAGCTAGTTGTACAAACGAGAAAATTGCATGCTTTATTAGTTCAGTTATCACGCCATGCGCTATCTAGTGAGGAGGAATGGAAGATGACACAATAGCAGTGATTGACAAAAAAATCTATTCAACATGAAACCTTAATGACTACCTTTAGCAGCTGAAAAAATAGGAAACTTAAACTGTCTAATGACATTCGAAAGCAAGTTTGATTCTTAATTTCCCTCGTTTTCAGAATGCAATGATTCCGTGATTCCTTGTTAACTTTTCGTGCATGACTGAAGAAGTTATTAAGCAAATTCGCTACACCACCTTAGGACAATAAAAAGTTGTTAACGAAGCCTTCATTGGGTGAATTAATAAAATCCGTGATTGATTTCAGTAGTGTCTGATTCTTGGACGATGATGAAATGTTGCCGGACGAAACAGTGTTAGGGCCTCGTTTATCATTTCCTGTTAACAAGTGAACGACTCATCAGGTTGTATTGTCGATCATCAAATTTATTCCGTCTTCCAGACGCTGGCTTTAAATATTTCCATAGTGGAATCTAGTGGAAGAATCATTGTATAACGGCAAATATTCTCTACTCTGGAGATAACAAGAATTGAATTATACGTATTGGGGTTAACATGATGAACGAAACTTCAGATTTTAGCGCGCCCTCGTTATGTAGTTTCTTAACACTAAATATTTTCCCACAAATTGATGCCTAATTTGTTATTCATCGGAACTCAAAACGTGAACAAGCCTATAAGCCTTGTTTGTTCTAAGAACCCATCCCTCCCACGCAAAAGTTAAACCCTCGCCTACCTGTGATGTTAATTGAAGAAAACAGAAGAGTGTTGCATGGTATCTGTAAGGAGGTTTACCGGGCGAGATAAGGTACAAGTTTAACACTCATAACGACTTGTAATTCATCCTCAATTCTCAACCTTAACTGTGTTCTTCCGTCTTGGTCTCGGTTCGCCGTGTTTTGTCTTTACGATATTCAAATGAGTGCCACAACCGGATGCAGTGATTGGCTCTCCTCGGTCGATCAGTCGGGGGTAAAATTTCCACGTTTAGTTGCTACAACAACAACTGCGCTAAATTTGCTCAGCTTACTAACACAATTTCATTTATACCTCAGTTAAACAAACAAGGTCGACAGTATTTGCCAATTTCGCAACTCAACAATTTAGATTCGCAACAAAAGAAAATCGTTCAGCGAACGTTTATTCTAGAACATCATTGACTAAACCTTTGCGGCTTTCGCATTGACAAACCGAACTATGACCTTTCTTTCTTGCCCATTTGTTAACTGGAATGTGACGAAATTTTTCAACGCTGCAGTCAGTTTTTCAGAACAGCTTTGGCTATTTAACGTTGACTCAACGGGTAGTATCGTAGTTATATTGGCAAGAAAGCTGCTTTTGCCTTAAGCCCACAGGTGCGACTTCCTAAAGACACACAAAATTCAGTAACCCAGACGTTTTCATTGCCATTGTCTGTATGTCGTGGCCTGCTTTCAATGATTCATGAAAGTGGCAATTGCATAAAATCTCTCAACAATCTTTGTAACCAACGTGCTTTGTCTTAATGTCTCGAACTATTTCATTTCGTCCACATTGTCTATTAATTCCAGGACATAAAAGAACCATATGCGCCATCTTTATTAGGAGAACTCAGTTCTTATGCAAAGGCTTAATAATGGTCTTACTGCAAACATCGCCACTGATCCGTAACAATGAACTCTATTTAAAGAAATACTTTGCTGATTACTTTCTTCAATATCAAGGCAAACCTCACGATACTGAAAATAATTGTCGATGTCTGGCTAAATGTATAAATAGATTGGATGGAGCAGTGTACCGATGTTATGCAGGGTGAACACAGACTCCAAATTGTTATCTCTTTTAATTCTTTTCTTTACATATTTCGTGCTCTTTTACAATCTTACCACTTCCTCCTGATAAAGGCTAAATCTTCAGCCGATGCGTCGGGGTTTTTTACATCCAATTTTGTCTATTTAACCAGAGTGACGTTTTTATTTCGAGTTATGTTCAAATTCTTGGTTAAAACATTCCGTGGTTAAGACAAATTATATTCTTTTTTTAGAATACGGGGACAAACGAATGGAACTAACCTTGACTATCTTTGACAACGAGTAATGAAACTCAGTCCAATCGGTTCATGTGTTAGATGGTCATCTTGTCCAGATCTCACTACAACCTAGAGTGTGCTTTTTTTTTTCTTGAACTCTCTGTGTGATCCTTTGCAAAATATGTTATTCGTCGCCCAACTGCTAAAGGCTTAGAAACATTTCGAAGTAGCTGGTACCAGTAAGACTACTGCAGGCAAAGGGCGACAAGGAAGCAATAACGTACCATTCGCCACTCGCCACAAAGCCAGTTTTAAGCATTTTGTGTTTCTTTGGGAACTTTTTTCATGTCAAAGGAAGACAAAACGAAGAATTAACAACGCCTGGCTATTTAGATCGGGTTCAGTTTGACTCGAACAACTGCAAAAACCGGCGAGACGTGACTACAAAAAGATCTCTTTATTATGGCCTGGAGGGAGTCGATAGAAGAATTGTTTTTAACCTTCACTATCTTTGAATGGTAGATTGGAAGTTATAATCGTCGATTATTACTCATAAGACATGGTGAAAGTAGACAGAAATAGATCAATTTAAGTCTCTTTCAAACGTTTAAGAATCGATAAACATTTAGACGATCGTGCATACTTTTTAAAGTTTAATCGGGTACATGCTTAGTTGAATTACAGGAGGTACCATCAAAGGACGCAGTTGGATGTCAACAGATTCTTTTTGGTACTTGACTGGGTCAAGGATTTCTTATATTTTAGATCTTCTCAAAACATTGATTTTTAAAATCAGCAGTGCTTTAGTTTCTCATTGATGTTTGCATGTCCTAAGATAAATTAAAACTTTTACTCCTGCCGAGTTATTAAATTTGTTGTCACGCGTATTTATGTTAATAACCATTCATTGAACGTCAATAAATTTCTATTGTTGTCTCCCGCAGAGTCTGAAACGAAGAAACCCGAAGAAGCGGAAAGTGTCGAAGAGCTTACGTCGACTGTAACACGAATAAATCGGACCTTCAGGGCCAAATGTTGGAATAAATGTGGTTGGAAAAAATTCTTCTGAGAACGAAAAGGTAACTGGGTAGAAAGCGCCGTAGGAAAACTTATTTTTATTCTTACTGAGTTTTATTCAATATCAAAATTGATTGAACAAAATGAATCTTGCCTAGGATTCCATGTATCCCGTTTGACATTCTTAAGGGGGCTCTATAAATTATCATGATAACTCACTCAAGTCTTTCAGTAAAATGCTACGCTAGAATCTAAGTACGTGTAACCAAATCAGATGACAAGTAAACTTAGAAGAAAATATCACGTGCAGTTTCTTTCAAAATTCTGATTATTTCCCTTGCCTTTAAAATTTGACCAAACGCTTGACCAAACGTTTTAAGCATACATTTAAAGTTCACATTGATTTTCGAAAAAGTTCAACAGATCCTTCCTGCTGTAAAAAAGTGAACCCTTTCGCGTGTTTCGCTTTTCTGAGCGTCTTTTAATGCCCTAATTTTGCACTTTGATTCGTACTAACATCTTTAAACCTGACCGCCCCATCTGGGCCCTTGGATTAGATGAGATACACGAAACGTTGCCTTCGCATTGTTTTTATTTCATGTGACTGAGGAATTATAAATATATGCTGAAATCTTTGGCCGAAATTAGGCAGTAATTTGCCACCCATTAATTTAGTGAAGGTACAGTGGAGATGATATTAAATAGGACTTTCAACAAAGAGTAGGAACTGTCATTCCCATTCTCAGTACGAAAATGCCTTCCCAGTCTCAAGGTAGAAACAATTTAATATCAACGCTAGCATTGGGGCGATGTTTTTCCCACCGTCAGCCCGTGCAACTGGCTTTGATAGATTGTGCTCAAAAAAGTAGCATAATGTGATACTAGCAGTGCTCATATGTTTCTAAAATTATGCCAATTACTAGAAATACGTTTTCGCAAAAATCTCTCGAATCTAAAAAGGATCATCAGTTAGAATAAACGGAAACAAACCAAAGGGTTATGCTCATTGTCCCGCTGGAATTTCCCGCAGAAGACGAAATCCCCAGGAGGCACTCTATGAACTCGCGCGTATTTTAAGCAAAGTACTTATACAGTTGAAATATACAGTCAGCATACCAGAAAAAAAATCTCGATTTGCTTGAACAGGGGCCGCGAGGAATCGGTAGGTAATGATGACGTTTCTATTGTTTGCGCCCGCAAGTACGAAATGGTTAGGATGACGTAAAGACAGAAAATCCCGAAGGGACCCCCTAGGTAAATTTTGTGACATTTATTATGCATACTCTTTTGGGTTACGTATTATCAGTGACATTCTGTGGAGCAGTCGTTTTTAAAGTTGTGGACTAAAAGACACTCGTTAAGCGCAGATGAAGATATAAGGTGCGTATAACTCTGTTTATATAGACACTTGGAGAGTTGCCAGACACGAGTTCACAAATCTTTGATTGGAAACCTTGCCAGACACCTTCTCTCTTTTTGACATGCTTTGACCGAATAAGACTTAGCCCCAAACAAGCAAGAAGAGTGAACAACGGCTAGCTTATCACTAGCAGAACGATGGACGATTACAAAAATTCGCCGACAATCAAATTCTGTGCTGTCTTACTCCCTGCTCACTGATGTCCCTCCGCTATAAAGTTTAAAATAAAACTAGAATGCGCGAGCGTGAATTGATCTTATTGATCAAACGTCCTTTTAATTTCTAAAGGCTTCCTTTCCGGCAGATGAAATGAACTGAATGTAAAATGTGAAAGAGAAATAGCGAAAAGTTCAACTTGTAATTAAATCTTTTCTTATGGTTTAAAATAAACTATCCTCGAAAATGAGAATGTTTTGATCAAAGCTGTGTAAATCGAACTGAAACTGTGCATAACCTTGCGTTTCCCGTATTATCTCACTTATTGAACGGAATATGAGTGAAAATCTTCAATGTGAATCGGTATATATTTTCAAAGAGCTACACAACGAGCAAGAATACTATTGACCGACAATATACAGAGCGGGGACAGTAACAGCTGTTAAGTGTCAACTATTTATACTAGTTTTAGCAAAATATGTGAGAAATTATGGCTCCTAAGCGGTAGTTTGTTCATGCAACGTTGTCCCAAGGACTTAGAAAGTTCCTTAGAAAATGGTTTTACTTACTACTAACCACTTACTTGAGCGAGTTTCAACTTTGAAATGCATGGAGGAGAGAAAGACACTCATTGCAGTTGCGCCGTATCATTTCAATAAAGCTAAAACTTTGGAGGAAAACCTACTTACGGCATAAAGCTCTTGTAAAAAAAAACCCTGTCGACACCGCAGTGGATTGGAGAAGGTGAAAACGAAATACCATCTGAAAAACTCGCCTTATAGATATATTTCATGGACTATAAAACTCTTTCTCTCTCCTAGCGTGCGTGCAGCTGATTCACTTGCCAAAATTTCTCGCTGTTGTAGTTTCCACGTTAATTATTCTTTCTGAATCCACCGCAATTCTTGTTTTATCACTGATTTAACCGTTTCTAAAGCTTAAAAAAGTTAAATGATAAAGAACAACAAGTACCCATCAATCGCATTGAGTCTAAAGTACACGGAATGATTCGTGTCCAATATCCTTTGAAACTTTTTCTTAACTGTTTTTGGAGATGTTTTGATCGCAGATGCACTTTGGACTGGCGTTTTACGTACACTAAAAAGCCGCGCCATGCACGCCGCTAACCATACAGATTGCGGCTCTAAGTTCTAGAACCAAGTAAAGAGCGCTTTCCATATAGTCAAAATTTCCGGAATTTCTGGTTCGGCGGTAAATGGAACACGTTTCGTCGGCTCGTCCCACTGGAAAATTCCCAGAAAAAGTGGAAAATCTAAAAAGGTGGGCCCGTTTTCCCGGTTGGAATTTCCGAACGGAATGTCGTGTTCCATTTACGTTTCTCGTAGTTT